ATCCTTCTACTTGAATTTATCATAAAACTAACAGATCACACAAATATCAAGTCATCCCTTCGTAATTATTATTCTTAGATATGCCAAAATACTATCGTGAACTTTTTGGGTAATTGAATTTAACATTATGCAAAATCTTTTAAATTGACAGTTTTTGTTTCCATTTATTTTCATGTAATTTGATATTTAAAAATATTATTAGTTGAAATATGTTTCTTCTCAATTGAATATGTTGGAAGCGGCATTTGTTGGAAACTTCCTCTTATAATAATGTAGAATGAAACTCAAATGCGAGACATAATCAATATTCTAATCACTTCTATATCAGATTAGCCCAAATATTTATTGATCTAAATACAGTTTGTCTATGAAAAAGGTAAAGATAATTAAGCTTCAGCTTCTTTCCGTTACTAAATGAGAAAAGGAGCAGATCATGTATCCTCACACCTTCCAAACATTTTTTGTTTCAGTAAGCAGTAGTGTCTAATATTTTTAATATTGTTTTTCAGGAACTTCTTATAGCATGTAATGAAATTATGCAAGAAAACTTTTGTTGATAGTCACGTGAACTGCTTATGTTTTTGTAAGATCCATTAATTTTTTGACGATATCTAATAGCTAGAAGGATGAAAATTCTTCACTTTTAAATACGTGAAGGATGTTTTCTGCTAAGAATGATACTTTAAGGATGTAGTTTAAGTTTGAGGTATAATTTAAGAATATTTTTGGCCAAAAACTCTATATATAACACAAATTAAGTACAAATCTAATGAAAATTAAAAGTTTGTCCTAATAGTAATGACTCATATAGCACAGTAAATTAGTACGCGCAACATTATTATTTTTTACACGTCATTTAGATTCCGAACTCTCAATTTGATCAGAGGAAAAAAATGAGGTGCATTAAAGGCTCTCTGCATCTACTAACTTAAATTCTTGGACCCCATTTAGAAGGAGGAAAAGAAAAACTACAGAATATGCATTTAGTATGAAAGAGAAAAGAAGAGAAGAGTTAATGAGGGGATCATGAAATTTCAGAACAATATTGATAAATACAAGATGACAAAACCAACATTCATGTAAAGAGAAATAATAATGTAGGTGATAGACCAATCAGGGTCGTGAATGTGGTGGATTGGTAAGTATTTTTTTCATCCTTAATTAAGAGGTTTTGGGTTTGAATCCCTCTGAATATGGAATTGCCTTTATTAGAAAGCACTTTACCTCTCAATGTGATATTTTCTGACGCGAATCTAGATTTAATCGGACTCTAATGTGGATACCAAACACCAGATAGGAAACGAAAAATAATTATGGAGGTGATAGAGAACACTCAAAAGAGTGTAGAGGGAACACTTGTTTGGCAATCTCTTATCTTGTGATAGCCTAACATGCCCTTCCTTTTCTGACTCTAAATTTTGTCAAATGAATTAAATGAATGTGGTCAAAATATATAGGATAGACTCGAAGCTAAAATTTAATTTTATAAGTTCTGAATTTTATAATAATAATTTCAAGTGTTAATAACTGGCTTCTAAACTTAATATCCATACATATTTTTAATGAACTTCTTAATACATATACATTTAAGCAAAATTACTGAATTCAGATTCTAACTTATAGCTCCGACCTTATCACAAAGCAACTATAGATATACATAGGAGAAAGGTTTTTTTTTCAGTTTTATCTTTTCTTTTAATTATATATTCACTAGTAAAATTATGCGCGCTTCGTGCCGGAATTTAATAGCACAAAATTTATAAAATAATACTTAAAATCTATCAGTCAGTAAAACTAAAACACTATATTATCTTACATACAAGATTACGTAGTAACAAACATTAATAATGTAAAGGAAAATGAAAATTATTACATCCTATCATTTATCCTTAATAACATAAGCATAAATTATTGACAGTAAAAATACATACCAGGATCTGTAACATAAACAATAATGTCAGTGAGCCACTCAACAGGAGCAAAGTACACAAATATTTAATTAATTGTGAAGAAGAAGAAGAAGAGGTTCAGAATTTTCGTTATTTTAAAATGAGAGGAAATCCCTCTATTTATAGACAACAAAGGATAGTGTGAACAAATGTTTATTGTGCCTTATCGGAAAGGTTGCAACTATTTGGAAAAGTTGTAACCCTTTAGAAAGGTCACAACCTTTCATAAAAGTCACAACTTTTCATAAAAGTCGCAACTCTTCATTAAAGTCGCAACTTTTCATAAGCATTACAACTTTTCATAAAAGTCGCAACTCTTCATTAAAGTCGCAACTTTTCATAAAAGTCACAAATTTTCATGAAAGGGGAAGGCTAGTTTTGGAAATAAATAAACTAAAAGGAAATTCTGATTTGTAGTCGTAGGCGGGCATAAGGTTCTCTTTTATATATATATATATATATGATTTTTACAAGCGAAAAATCTAAAAAGTCTTAACTTTTTTTATTTAAATTATAAAAGGACACGAAATCTCATCCCTTCGATATTATGTAACCCTACGCAAATTGACAACCTAAAAAAATAATTGTACTAAACTTGGTAGAGTCTATTAATGTTAGCTGTTATTTGTATTGTGTTGTCTAATTTATTTGACTTTGTCTCACAAACATGAGAGTAAACGATTAGCGAATCAAAATTTAAACGTTGTGAATTCCAAATCGAAAAGGTGTGTCATGAATTATATACCTAAGTATATTTATACTTGTTTTAAATTCTGAGTCGAAAGAGTTCACATATATATATAGAGAGAAATTTGATCCCAAAATATTGGATTCTAGTACTAAATTGGTAAACTCATGATTGAATCCATCACTAAATGTAATGAGACAAAAAAATATAGTCTTGTATGGAAACTCAACAAAGGCAAAAAGATGGGTTCGATATTCACATTTAAATTCGGTTAAATTTGAATTTTACACTGAAAAATCTCATATTAGGAATAAAATGCTCCGTAATAAAAATAATTCTATTCGAAACTTCTGATTAAGGATAAAGAAATACTTAGCATTGTACCACAATCTTATTGGTGGCAAAAAGAAGAGTCTTAAACTAGAAGGGAACGTGATGTTCCAGCAATGAATGCATATGTATCCTAATCAAACAAGACAGGGGGTGGGGTGGAGAAATGCTATTCCCTTCATTTTCCCAAGACAATTGATAATCTAAGTGGGCCCAACTGCATCAACAATGTCTCTCTGTTTGTGGAAAATATAAATTAACTTAATTTAATTTTTACTTCGAAAAATAATTAGTTTGACTCTGAAAAAAATAATAACTATTTTGAAATGGAATGAGTAATTACAAGCAAAATGACAATGACACGGTTGAACTCAATTATTAACAGATGACATGAACAAACTTTTTATAAAAGTTCGATGGCACATATTTTTCGGAAAAGGGTCAAAATTGCCCCCGAACTATATGAAATAGACCATTTATACCCTTCGTTACATTTTGGGATCAAAAATGCCCCTACTGTTATCCTAAGAGACCACAAATACCCTCAAGAGTTAACACCCCAAATTTTTGTTGATGTGGCAAGCCACGTGGGACCAATCCTTCCACCTAAGCGTTGCCAACTAGGATTCACTACAAAAGAACTAGACCTTTAGCGGCAACAACAGTCGCCACAAAAGCCCAGAAAATCGTCACTAAAAGTTTTTAACATTAAATTCTAATTTTGTGTTTTTTTCTTCATTGTTTTTAAAAAACTAAATATGATATCGATTAAGTAGGAGTTTGAAGACACTATATGTTTTATTTTTATGTCATATGTAAATGTATAAAATGTACAATGATGCATTATATATTATATAGTAGGAGATTTGAATCGAGAAGTAATTTTGATTATTTTTCGTAATAATATTTTTTTGTTGAAAAAATAGGTTTTACTAGCGAATGGTTGTTGGAGCCTTAGTCGCCACTAAAAATCACTCATAACCTTTAGTGGCAATATTTTGGGATTTTGTGGCGACTTTGTCGCCACTAAAAGTCAAGTTCTTTTGTAGTGAATCTTAGTTAGCAATGCTTAGGTGGAGGGATTAGTCCCATGTGGCTTCCCACGTCACTAAAAATTTGGGGTGTTAACTCTTGAGGGTATTTGTGGTCTCCTGGGATAACTGCGGGGTATTTTTGATCCCAAAATGTAATAGAGGGTATAAGTGGTCTATTTCGCATAATTCAGGAGCAATTTTGACCCTTTTCCGTATATTTTTTTTTATCAGTTTAATTTTCGTGACGTGAACCTCTAATAAGAGGCAACATGGAAAGAATGATTTTGCAAAATCATCAAACCTCTCCGTTAAACAATAATGATATGAAAGAACCCTTTATGTAGTGATAATGGGCATGATTAAACCCACTTTTAGCAGATAACATAAATGAGGTTTTTTTCTCAAAGTTCAAAGATATATTTGAGCATTTTCCCTTTATTTTATTTAATTCGGTAGGTAAGCAAAAAATATTATACAAACCAAATCTTACATCTTATCCTCCTAAAATAACCAATATCCTAGTAAAAAAATAATTCTACTAAAAGAAATAACTTTCACATCTATGGCTTCTTAGAAAGACCAACATCAATTCAATAATCACAAGATGAAATTTTCTTCTCATTCAAGAAAGAAATACAACTCCAATAACAAAAAGATTGCTAATTCCACAAAACTTATATAAAAAGAAAGAAAGACGGGAAAATAACAAAGGAAAAAGATTCAGAAACTAAACGAGAGTTGAGATTCAGCAATGACTCACACAACATCTCATTTCTGCAACAAAGTAAATTTGATGAATATGTTCACTTTGAAGGGCTTAGGAAAACAGACCTACTCTCCATTGGCACAAATACAACCAAGATATACTACTACTACTACTACTATTAGCTAATACGCGATCATATTCTTCGCATCAGCAAAGCTAAATATATTCATTCATGGATACGATCACCTCTTTATTCTTTCGAAAACCTAACTTAAAAGTAGAAATAACTACAGAAGGATGAAATTCCCCTTTGAACACAGGGCAATAGGCTATAAAATTATAAAAGCTGGTAAATACTGAAGCTGCACTTGAATGTCTCAGCTCATTTCACCATTAAAGATTGTTCTACAACTCGACATGTTTGACACAATAGGTGCATCTCCATGACAATCTCTACGTCAATGCCATGTTGTCAATGACCATAAGGTGGAACAACTAACAGAATAATTTCGACAGCTTCGTTCTACAGCCACAGAAATAAAACAACTATGAATGCCACACACTACAGATCCGAGAGCTCAGCAAAGGATAGTCGATCAATGAACAGACCCTTCCAGTGTCGTTATCTTCCATTAAATTCTTTCTGCATCATCTAAAGGGAAGTTAGGAGCCAAAGATCTACAATTCACTTTGTCATCTCAGCAACCATGAAATACCGAAGTCTCTCATTCTTTTAGATTCTCAGGAGTCACATATCTTCAAACACAAAATACTGACAATTCCAAGAAAGCATGTGTTAAAAAAATATCTCCCCACCCTCTCTCCTTACGTTTGGGGAAGATATTCAAAGAAATAAGACATCATAACTTATGCAAGATGTGCCAACCATCTTCAATGCCAGCAAAACTAACTACAAACACTAATGGACAATTAAAGTTGTCGAAAGATGCATTCAAGTCTGCATGGAAAAACTAGATTCTCGGGTAGCTCAGCTCAGAACTCAGACAAACTGTGTGCATGAAGCATCTCGTCATTAACGACTCACCATCCAGAACAGTATTGACCATGAAAATGATTGATTTTACCCGCAATAGACGGCCTGGTCTATATGTGGCGGAATTTGCTTAATCTCAGTTCCTAGCTCTTGTTCAATTCTATACCTGTCAAAAATATTAATATCATGAAAAATAAATTAATAAAACGAAGAGTGCAAACCAAACGACCTATATAAGAGGTGAACTACTTTATACTTACAAATTGAAGCGATCCTCGAAAGTAATTAGGTTGACAGCTAAACCAAGGTGACCAAATCTCCCAGACCGCCCAACCTGCACAAAAAGTAAATATGAATAATATAATAGTACAAATAGATAGACGATTCACTTGGTAAGGATCTGTATCACATACCCTGTGTAAATATGTTTCTGAGTTCTTTGGGAAATCAAAGTTGATAACAACATTGACAGCTTGAATGTCTATCCCTCTAGTAAACAAATCTGAGTTCAACATGAAGTAAGCTAAGTTACTTGATCAATCTAGAAGACATATATGCATTATAATAAGCAGAACATGCAATTCATCATCATCATGCAATTAGTAAAGCAGATCTGTAGACAACATGAAAGTGACGAAATTCCTTAACCAATCTAAGGGACATACATAAAAAGAGACCCCAGTTACTTATCAGTTATCACCGTGCAAGAGCAGGACTTGAGGAAACGTTTATCATCATGCAATTAGTAAAGCAGATCTGTAGACAACAAGAAAGTGACGAAGTTCCTTAACCAATCTAAGGGACATATATAAAAAGAGACCCCAGTTACTTATCAGTTATCACCGTGCAAGAGCAGGACTTGAGGAAACATTTTTTCTTTGGGGAAAGTAAAAGGATTCAGGGGAATTAAGTGTGGATCATGAATATAAAGGCAAGATTTATATCTATAAATAGGCAACAATGCCAAGATAATCATGCAACAGTAAAATTCAAATGGATGCTACACTAGGTCAGAATTTGGACACTTTTGAGTAGAAGTTGAAAAAAAATAAAAATTTAAGTTGAAGTTGAAAAAGAGTTTGTGGTAGTTGAAGTTGTGTTTGGACATGAATGGAAAAAGAACTATGAAAGTTAAAAATTTGTGGGTAAAAACCAAAATCACTTGAAATACACCTTTAAGCCACGACCACTTGTAATTCAACTACTGAAATTCAGCATTTGAAAAGTCTCATGGTCTAACAAGAACTTTGACAGTGTTATCAAAGGCGAAAAATGCAAAAAATATCTAGTTGTATTACTTGGCGATTACGTACACTTGTGTGTGCACTGGGACCACAAATGTGTCTCTATTATTTCTCCACAAAAAATAATCTTGAACACAATGGGATCCCTCTTCTCATCAAATGTCTTGTGTAAGGGTAGCTACTTTGATTAGTAGCCACACAAAACAAGCTACTTTGTGTGGTGTTTTAGTTTTCCAAATGTGCTACCATGGCCAGTTAGTTGGCTATCTGTTGATTAGGATGGCACTGACCTTGAATAATCCCCTCTTGTTTCCTATCCACCAAAAAAACATCTTCCTCTGTTAGCCCACTAAACTGCTTAAGTGTGCTAAAAGATCAGTCTCTTTTTGTACAGTCACTGATTTGTCTTCCTAAAATGATGTTCCATCCTTGAGCTGTCCACATTTTTTGTATAGTCCTTTGCTGCTATAGAACAATGAGCCTGTTTGGATTGACTTTTGGCTTTTGACTTATAAGCCATAAGTTAGTAATCATAACTTATGGCTTATGGCTTTTGGCTTACTTTTACTATTTTAGCTTTAAAATCAAGTGCTTGTGAGTACTTAATTAATTTACACAAACACTACATAAGTGCTTAAAAGCTATTTTGGCTTAAAACACTTAAAATAAGCCAATCTAAACCGGCGCTAAATTGAAGACATCTGGAAAATCCATTTCCCAAATGCCCACCTCGTGCCAATAATCCTACCAAAGGCTAGTTTTGCTCCCATTAAGTACTTTGATCTTGGAATTGATCTTCAGTTCACCCCCATGACACTAATGGATCTCTAAAAACTAACCCCAAAAGGTGTAGTGACCTCTTCAGTCATCCGATCGTCTTTCTTCCACATTTAGCTCTAGTAATATTCCCCTCAAAAGTTGGTTCTCATTGGTGAACTTCCACATCCATTTTTTTTCCCAAGCGGAATGGATCTTCAAATTTTTGATACCCAAACTCCCATATTTCTTTCCAAAAGCAAGTGGTTTCCTATCTTTCTTTGTTCCCTTTCAAAAGAAAATTACGCATAATACATAAATATGTCTTTTAACTTGGCTTCAGCTGACATCTAATCCAACTTTGAATGTGCACAAGTAGGCACTTAAACTTGTACAAAGTTGCACCCAAAGGTGTGGCCTAGTAACCACTGAAGTGTGTGAGAACCATGAGGTCTTAGGTTCAAATCCTAGCAAAGAGAAAAAAACATTAGGTGATTTCTTCCTATCTGCCCTAGCTTTGGTGGATAAAGTTACCTCGTACCTATTGTTGGTAGGAGGTGGCGGTATCCCATGGAATTAGTTGAGGTGCTAACAAGCTGGCCCGGACACCACCGTTATCAAAAAATATTATATAAAGTTGAACAAGTAGACACATGTGTCCTATATGGCAATTCACGAGGGACACAATCAAACTGATATACATTATGCCATACAGGACGTGTATGCCTACTTATTCGACTTTATACAAGTTTAAGTGAGTCCTAACTTCACCTCCTACGATTGCAGCCAAAGATCCATGTTTGTAACTACATTGATTGGGAGAGAAAACTTTTCCCTCCATTGATGTGTAAGCTAGATATCCCTTCAAAAGGTACCAGAATCACCCTTAGGTATTTCAACTGATCTTCTTCAGCATCACAAAAGATAAGTGTGTGTCATCAATACACTGTAGATGAGTTACCTCTAAACTGTCATTGCCAACTCCAGCTACATCAAAGTCTCTTATCCACCCATGCAAATTGGTTGTTCTTAGTTCTAATCATATAGTTGAGGCCTTCCATAGCAATCACAAGCAGAAGGGGTGACAAAGGATCTCCTTGCCTGAGAACTCTTTGTGCTTTGAAGAACTCTGCTGGGGATCCATTTACAGAGAAACTGATAGTTGAGATGAAAAATTTGATACGGTGTATCCATTTCTGTCCAAACTCCCCAGCAAACTCAGCCGATAACTCCAACTGTCATGATCATAAGCTTTCTCAATGTCAAGTTTGCACAAAATTCCAGATTTCTTTTGCTTCAACCTGGAATTAACTGCTTCATCAGCTTTTGAAAAGCATCCATGATCTGTCTACCTTTAATGAAAGTCATTTGTTGAGAAACCACCAGTTTAGAAATCACTTCTTTTAATCTCTCAAGGTGCTTTGGAGAACAACTTGTAAATGCTTCATGTTAAACTGATAGGCTTGAAGTCCCTCAATTCCTTAACACCTTTCGTCTTGGGAATGAGAGCTATAAAGGTTGCATTGAAGTTTCTTTCAAAAACTTCTTGAACATTGAAGTTTTGAAAATCACACTTGATGTCCTGTTTCACTACCTCACAAATTTGATGATGAAGCCCATGGAAAACCCATCTGACCATGAGCATTGTGTGCTACACAATTTCAGACACCTTAGCACTTCATTTTCATCAAAGTCACCTTGTAAGGCGTCATTGTCCTCCTCGATAAGATGGGACAGTTGTCATAATGATAAGTACACCACCATTGTATTGTTTCAGTACAGAGCTTCTGGTAGAAGCCAATGATTTCTCCTTCAATATTAGTTAGCTCCTCAGTTATTTCTCCCTGAACCAGAGGTTGATCAATGTTGTTGAATCTTTTGTGTGCATTTGCCACTTTGTGAAAGAACTTCGTGTTCCTATCACCTTCTTTTAACTACAGAGCCCTTGATTTTTGTCCCAAGAGGTTTCTTCATGTTTGATTGGTTCCTCATAGTCCATGAATAAAGAAGCCTTTTCAACTGTTTCTTCCTCTGTTAATATTTTGTCTCCAAGCACCACCTCCAAATCTACCATTTGACCTAACAGTTTCTTCCTTTGATAGTCCATTCTCATTTCTGCTCCACTCTTTGAGTTAAGATTTAAGAGCTTTTAGTTTGCAGGCAAGTATGTAGTCAGGATTCCCTGAGAAGTTGAACGAACTCCACCTTTCTTATTCTGTTATTGAATCCTGTTGACCTAACCGCCAATTCTCAAATCTGAAATACTTTTTTTTCCTGTTCCAAGAACCACCCAGTAAAGCTTGCGTTGGGACTTGTTTAATATTGTCATCCCATTCATTAGAGATTAAAAATTCTAGAAGCTATCTCTGCATTGTCCCCTTTAAACCAAGTGTATGTGGCATCTTCTAAATGTAGATCAATTAAGTTCATGTCTTCAAGAATGCAATGCTGAGGAGGCTGAATCACTAGTTGATATGATAGGATCCTTGTGAAGTAGTAGCCTAAGTTTGGTTGGGATTTTGTAAAGTCTTTTTGCACTGTTATGGTTCAACTTTAATATATATAGTAGTTATCAGTTTCACAAAAAAGTACATCTCTTCAATAAAATCAGCAAATTCCACCATACCCCTTGTTGAGATTTTTTTTTTTTACAATTACAATGTGACATGTAAAATCAAAGACAATTTCATAAATGAATGAGTCTCCACAAATTGAAAGAGGTGAGAACAAGAAGGGGTTACTGTTGACAGACAAATTAGCTTGTTGGATATTGCAGGCAAAACTTCATAAAAATTTGGGTTGCAATAGGCAGACTGGTGGTGTGAGTTGGAGGTGAGCAAAGCTGGGTTTTTGAAAATTGGAGCAAGGGTTTCTTCTCTTCCATGGAGAGAAGTTGAGTTTGGGAATTGAGACTTTGCATATTTGAAAATCAAAAGAATTATCATCCAAAGTTGTTAAAAAACTGGATTCACTAAGGAGAAGCTTCCTTTGGTAAGTCTGTAAAGAAAATAAGGGGTCTGCTTGGTAAAATAGAAAATAGTTTTACTTAGCAAGAAAAGGGGTGGATTGGAAATCAGAAAAGCTAAGAATACATAATAACTGCTTATTGATGAAGTGGCTTTGGAGAGGCAATGGGAGGAGCAAGCTCTATGGAAGGAGGTAATTAGTGAAAGGTATGGGAGGAAAACTCTTGCTCTACAGAGGTAGGTCAGATGTCAGAAAACCTTATGGAGTAGGAGTTTGGAAAATCATTAAGGCCTTCTGGCCCATGATGGAACCAAATCTAAAACTAAAGGTTGGAAGTGGTAGCAAAATTCAATTCTAGTAGGAATGTAAGACAGACCAAACCCCCTCATGGAATCATTCCCAGATTTTTCACTATCTACAACGATCCAGATGCTAGAGTAGGTTAGTGTTGGATCCCTCAGGGGGTGGGATCTGTCCTTCAAGAGACTTCTAAATGACTCAGAAGTGGAAAGGGTGACATCATAACTGGAAACACTTGAGGGGTTCAGTGGCATAAGAACAAACTCAGGCATAATTCTTTGGAGGCATAACAAGGATGGTTGCTACACTGTCAATAGTGGCTTACAAAAGAGAAATCCTTAATCTTAGTGGGAGGCAGCAGTATCAATAGAATTATGTCTGGAACTCTAGATAGGTATGATCCCTAACAAGGTGAAGTGCTTTACTTGGTGGTGAAGAGAGCTTATCTTACACATGAAGTTCTACAAAGGAAAGGGATGCAGATAGTGTCCAGATGCTTTCTCTGCAACAAAACAGGGAAACTGACAAACACTTGTTTCTTCATTGTAGCTTCACTGCCCAGTTATGATCAATCTTACTCAAGCTTCATTGACACTAGATGGACCATGCCTGCGCACACAACAGATCACTAAGTTGTTGGAGGCAGCAAAAGCCATAAGAGACGGTGGAGGATAATACCATCTTGTGTGGACTATGAGGAGGAAGAGAAATGGCAGATGTTTTGAAGATACATCCATTCTATTCAGAAAGTAAAATGAGATTGGAAGGTGGGGCTGTTGGGATAAAAGTTTAAACTAAAGGGAAAAGAAAGAAGCAAAAAATTACTCTGCCATACATATATATGGGCTGATGAGTAAAGGACATCCATTTAACTCAAAAATAGAAAGAAATAAGGTGCACAAAAGGTAAGTCGAACCTAGATGGTCAAGAAAAACAACTCTCATCCAGACAAGTGCCCCCAAGCAGGCCTTTTTTTTTAAATGACAAGGGAAACCCGCAGCCGCTACCCTTTGGGTGTGCACAAGGCAAAACTCCCGCTCCTATGTGCACAGTGTCCCCAAGCAGGTCTTGTAACTTTGGGTGCCTAGTAAACTATGTTTTTTCAATATATTACACATATATATAGGATCTTTTCGAGATTACCGGGTGCAGGTGATTCCCCTAACACCAACGTAGGCCTGCCTCTAGTCACAACCAAATGACTTCCATACAGGAACCATTACCATCAAATTTCTCTTGATATTTGACTACTCGAAAACATATTCTAAAGACAACGATGAACCGGTAAATATGCTTCGAGGGGCATCAGAATCGATCTTCAATGTTTAATATTTGCAATGAGACACTTCATCCACAATCATAGGAGCAATTTCAGCAATTAACCTCAATGATCACCTACCACTGACTCAGCACTTACAACAAGAAACACCAGCAAGTATGAGTAATAGCAGTTCGAAGTAGATACAATTATCATACCAGTACAGACAAGGTTCCTGCAGGCACCATTGCGGAAGTCATGAAAAACCCTGTTCCTATGATCTTGAAGCATCTTCGCATGGATATAGAAGCATGAATAACCCAGTTCCGTGATCTTCTTGGCAAGAAGTTCTACACGATTTACGGAGTTGCAAAAAATTATTGATTGGTTTATTTGAAGCTGCAAAAACAGAAGAGAATGTTATAACATGAATTGATGTAAGTACTCATATCACCATTAATAGTTTGGTGAAGGACCAACCTTCGAGAACAGAGTGTTAAGGCAATGAAGTTTCTGTCTTTCTTCAACAAAAGCATAAAACTGGCTAATACCCTTGAGTGTAAGTTCGTCCATAAGGTTGATAACATAAGGCTTCTGCAAGTATCTATCTTTGAAGGCCTTGACTGTAACAGGAAATGTAGCGGAAAACATTAATATCTGCCGACTGGCAGGCAAGAAGCGGATCAGCTGCTCAATGGAAGGTAGGAACTCTGGTGATAGAAGCTTATCAGCCTGAAGGACATAAGTAAACACAACTAAATTATAAATAACATAAAGTGTCATCCCTGTAAAAAAAAAATTGTGTAGGGGCTGGGGTGGGTGGGTATGGGAGGAGATGTTAAAGATAATCATTTATTCCAGCAAACTCGTAATAGAATGTGTATACATGCAAGGGACAGTTCAAAATTATTATTCAGGTAAGGGAAGAATTTTATAGCTTGATTCTTGACTTTCTAGGTTCCACATGAGAGTCATAACTACACTAGCTTAAAGCATTACTTGCATATTGTTCTCCAAATCAGAAATAAATGTTATGGACATATCAAAAATGTTATGTTGATTAGACTTTCTTAATATTGCACATGACTTTCCCCGTATTCAACAAGGTTCGTGAAGAACTGATAACATTTGGCAATCAATATAGCCTTTTGGTTGTCTGCAATCTAAGAGAAAAATAGCCATGCGGCTTCACAGAAGGAAAAAGCAAAAGGAAAAGGGAAGAAGAAGAATTACCTCATCCATGACAAGCATGGAGCAATCTTTCAAAACACACACTCCTTTCCTTGCAAGGTCAAGTATTCTTCCATGAGTTCCAACAAGCAAATGCACTGGCTGATACAGTCTCATTATGTCGTCTTTTAAGCTGGTCCCCCCAGTGGAAACCATGACTTGAATTTTTAAGTGCTTCCCAAGTTCTTTGCAAACTTGAGATGTTTGAAGAGCCAATTCCCGAGTCGGGACAAGGATAATAACTGCATATGGAGGCATCAACAGTAACTTAGTGAACCAATTATAAGGATCCAACCTAAACCAATTATAAGGATCCAACCATTGCTTATCTATCAACAAACAGTGTTTTCTTAAAAGAAAAGGACAAATATTTTATTTTGCAGGAGGGAATCAATTTCTAGGACCAACATAAGATTACTTAATGCATAGTATCAACTACACTCCACATGACCAAAATATTGTAGCTTCTAACATAAGAAAATATTTGTAGCAGTCTATGCATTACAACATCATTAAAACACTCCCTTAAGAAGCAAAGACATGCGAAGATTTCATGAGCTCATTCAATGTGCAACCAATAATAGTTGGAAAAAGAGCACTGTGAAGAGTTGAACTTCGCTTAACTACTAACCACCCCACCCAAAGAAAATAAACTTGAATTAAAAGGTGTTGAGTGTTATCACTTAACTATATTAGGCTCAAGCTCAACGTCATAACATATGCAAACATGTTGCTTGAACATTCTTTAAAGAGTTTAAGTTTCATCCATAGATGGTATAAAAGATATCAAGTCAGATATTTTTTATAGGTAAAATATGCCAAGTCACCTTAAACCAATTACATGTAATCGCCTTCATGGTTTAGCAACCTAGAAAAAAAACAGTAAATAACCTCTTGGAGCAGGATAAATTGTACCAAACTTGTAAAAATTTACATTGCCATGCATGAAAACTTCAATTTTTTCTTCTTTTTTTTACCCCTCCCTCGGAGCTCCCATTTTTTTGCTCCCTTGGCGACTCGAACCCACAACCTTAAGGTATAACTTTAATTCTTTTCTTTCTTGCCTACAATATTAATTCTTTTCTCAAGTTATTTTACAACTTGACCTTGAAACTTTTTTTTTTACAATATCTTGACCGTGAATTTAAGTTCAAAATATTTCCAAATAAACCAAAGGAAAAGCTACTAAATGTTCTCTTATTATAATTCAAGTAGCAATTAACTCCAAAGAATCTCTTTGCAAGAGATTTATTGTTGGTGATTAAAGATATGCACACATAAAGGGGGGTGGCAATCAAGCAGTTTGGTTATATTGGGGGTTTCAAGAGGATTTAAGTAATTGGGTCATACACAAATCCAAACCACTGGTGTATGCAGGTTAAAATATTAAAAAGGTTACATCATCAACAAGAAAAGTTAGATTCATAACCCAATCCACCCAGCGTAATATCATGTTGACATGTTCCAAACAACAACATACCAGTGTAATCCCACAAGTGGGCTCTAGGGAGAGAGATTGTTTTCGATAGAGATGCAAGCAGATCATACCCCGATTTTTGTGGGGTAGAAAGGTTGTTTCCACTAGACCCTAAACTTGACAGGCATGAAAAGAAATCGAAGCATGGTAGCAAGAAAATATGACAACAAAATATCAAGATGCATATGAAGCAACAGGTAGTAATACACTTAGTTGCGCGGACTCTTCACTTTTGATGCCTCACCCTTGTCGGATTCTCCAAAAGTACACTAGTTTTGGAGAATCCGACACGCACACGCACCCATTGACATTTTTGAAGAGTTCACGCAACATAGGTAATACACAAAGAAGAAAAGGAACAACACAAGTACCAAATGACACTAATAATAAAGAGAAGCATAGAGGAGGTTATCCCCTGCCTCTCCCACCTAAATTTGCTCGAACTCTTCCCTTTCGGCGTTGCACCTGTTTCGACATGACATAGGTATGGGTTGGGTGTGGGATACGTACCAAATTTGGATACTTTGACAAAAATCAATGGAGAAATTTGAGACAAATACAATGATTTTATAATCAAAACAAAAGTTAATTGTGAAATTGAAGAAAATGGAGTACCTTATATTGAAATTTCTATGTCAGACCTTTTTCTTATATCACCTTCTAGATTCTCCTCTTGATCAATATTTTCTCCACATAATACCTTGTAAATTTTCCACATAATGTCTCCAAATTTAGACACATAACTCTATGTTTAGTTATTTGAAGCCGAATCCCCGCACCTGGATCCGTACCTCCGAATCTTAAAATTTAGATTATGAAAGATCCGACCTCTAGATCTGCACATGAGTCCGTGCAACTTAGTCTCCCACAATATGTCACGACACTCGGCTACCTACTAACCTTGTAGCCTAATCCTCAACCTCCACTCCTTCCTATCTTGGATAATGTCCAATAGGCTGGAGTAGTATCATGTCATGTCTAAATTCTAATCACCACCCAGTTCTTCTTCAGTCTACATCTACTTTTCTCTGAACTCCTGTTACAACAAACTCCTCACTAATCCTTACTGGTGCATCCACACACTTCTTCACATGCTCAAACCATCTCAGCCTTGTTTCCTTCATCTTGCCCACCACCGAAGCTATTCCCACCTTGCCCTGTATAACTCCATCCCTAATCATTTATCCTAGTATGCCAACACATCTTGAGCATTCTCATCTCCGCTACATTCATCGTTTGAACGTGGGTCTAGCCAACACTTCACCCCATACAACAATGTTGATCTAACTAGCATGGTACAATTTACCTTTAAGCCTTCACAATATATTCTTATTGCACAACAGCCTGGATGTGAGTCTCCATTTCACTAACCTTGCTTCAATATGATGTGCAACATCATCATCAATCTTCACATCCCTCCTTGGATTATAGACCCAAGATACTTGAAACTTTCTTTTATGGGTATGACTTAGGCATCGATCTTCACTTCTACCTCCACCTCACGCGTTATTTCACACAACTTGTACTTCATATACTCTATTTTAGTCTTGCTTAACCTGAAATCTTAAAACTAGAGTCTATTGCCAAACTTCCCGCCTATCAATAACTCAACTATGTCCCGTCAATTAGTACTATGTCATATGTGAATAGCATACAAAACGACGCCTTTCCTTGAATATGTTATGTCAATTCATCCATCACTAAGGCAAATAGGAACGAGCTTAGGGTTGATTGTTGATGCAACTCCATCATGACCGCAAAGTGTTCTAATCACATCCCATTGTTCTAACCTGGGTCTTGGCTCTATCATACATGTCCTTAATAGTCCTAATGAAACCATTAATACACTTCTGGACTTAAACATCTTTGAGGGACCTTCTTAGGGACTTTATCATATGCCTTCTCTAAAACAATGAACATCATATGTACGTACTTCTTGTTCCTATATTGTTCCAACAATCTCCATACAAGATGAATGACTTCTATAGTTTATCGTCTCGACATGAATCCAAATTGATTCTCGGAGATAAGAGACACTTCCTATCATCCTCATTTCGATCACTCTCTCCCAAATTTTCATAGTATGACTTAGTAGCTTGATACCCCTATAGTTGTTATAGTTCTGAATATCATCAACCAGGATGTCGTCTAACCTAGTCACTCTTCACCTCATCTTATGAATGACCCCCTTAACCTCCGTAGTCTTTATGTGCCCACAATACCCAAAATCTCCACAACTCTCAAAATGCTCTAACTGCCCCAACATGATTTTCCTATCTTCTTTATTCAAGAGCTTATGGAAGTACATTTGTCATCTTTGTTTAATGTGCACCTCTTCTAACACGTTGTCATTCTCATCCTTGATGCACTTTACTTAGTCTAGGTTACAGGCCCTCCTCTCTCACCTTGCGATCCTATACTGCTTCTTATCCCCTCATTTGCACTCGAGCTCTTCATACAAGTGCTCAAAAGTTGTCGTTTTAGCCGCTATGATCGCTAGGTTTGCTTCTTTCTTTGTCATCTTTTTTTTTTGAGAAGGTAACAACTTGTATTCTATTCCAAAACAAAACCAGAACTTGCCACAACAAATTACAAGTTCCTAATTACAATTGTGGAGGTTAGCAGGAAGATCTTTAATCCTATAGCAAAATTTACAAGGAACCTAAAACATCTGTAACTGATTCAGATCTACCATGAACTCCTGTTTACACCAAAAAAGAAACAAAACTAAGCAGTTCATCTTAATCTTCTGGATGGAATTACTCTTGTTTTGGAAGCATCTGAGATTTCTTTCTTTCCACACAGACCACCAGATGCAAGCCGGAATGATTTTCCATCTTTCTTTATGCCCGGTAATGCTTGCATAACTGCTCCATATCTTGCGTAATTTTCCTAGGCATAACCCATTTCATGCCCTTCAGATTGATAAAAACATTCCACAAAATATTGGTTATTCTACATTGAAGGAAGAGATGATTTTCTCTATTCCTTTTCCTGTCTTCCTCACCTAAGTTTTCTGATATGCCACTTCTTAGCTTCAACTTTTCCTTGTGCCTCTCCTTTCCATCACCAATCCATGTTATGCTAGCATGAGTTCCCTCTTGAGACCCCTAATACCTCTCTAGTTGTTTCCCTGATGCAATCAATTGTCCTCGCCCACATACTACTTGCGTCTCCACTACTCCACCAAGCACCTGTAGCCACCAACTTCTCTCCAATTCCTGAGATTTGGCCTCAGCCAGGCCTCCCCATCTAATCCTTGGTAGGTCACAAGCAACCCTCTTCTTCTTCCTCCTCTTGATATCTAAATCCATAACGACAACCTTATGTTGGGTCGTAAGATTCTCGCAGGGATAACCTTGACGTCCTTGCATAAACTTCTATCACACTTCCTAAGGAGCAGATAATTTATCTGAGTCTTAGCCATTATGCTACGGTAGGTTACCAAGTGCGCCTCTCTTTTCTAGAAACTCGAGTTAGCAATTACAAACTTAAAAGCTTTTGCGAAGTCTAAAAATGAAACTCCTCCTTCATTTCTATCCCCAAAGCCGAAACAACCATGAACATCATTGTATCCTCCTAAAGTGGTTCCTATGTGTCCATTAAAATTTCCTCCTAAAAAAGTCTCGGTATGCAGGATACCTCTCACAAGTATTTTGAAATATAAAAAAGTATTCAAAATAGCAAAAACTAGACAGCTAAAAAGTACTTAAAATTTGGAAAAGGGGGCTCCAAGTCTCCAAACAAGCTCTTAATTTTATTTTTTGACAAAAAAGTTTCTTCATTTTAGGAAACATAGACTATAGATACTGTACTTCTCATATCAGAATACAATGCAGTTTGTCTGCAGAATAAGAGAGTTAATGCATCTTCTAATTCAAGTAACTCTAGCTTGATGACCAGGAAAGAATATCAGTTTCATTTCAATTTGTTTGTTTAATTTTAACTTGACGGAGTTTGAGAGAGTAAAGAAGACTTTTAAACCTTGTGTCTTAAACTAAAGATATGTAAAATGTACCAAAATGCTCTTTAATCTTGTGGTCGTAAACATATTATGTGGAAAGTTAGAATAAAAGAGTTGCCAAAAAGGGAAAAGAGACATCCTCTTGTAAACAGACTAAAAAGGAAAATAAGGCAAACAAATTGAAACAGAGGGAGTAATACATAGAGAGATAAGAAGAAAACAGTAGGCTAATATGCTTTATCACATAGCTTCTTAAATGGAAGGTACTCATACAACTTTTTACTGGTATTTTTAAGAGAAACAAGAATGCCTACATGATGGGGCCTTGAATTTATGGTTTGCAAAATTGCAACCCCATGAAAGGCGGAACATTTTAACAGACTAGCTTGAAATTGAGCACCTGAAGATATCATTTTCTGACCTGTAGATATGTTGGTGATTTGGTTTACTATGGCACCCATATTGTCATATAGTTACCATACTGATACATTGCAATTTTACTAGAAGGAAAGGAGATGTTTTTGAGGGGCTCAAAACAAGTCCGGTTCAAAGTTAGCTCATTCAGCACCATAGCTATAAGCCAAGCTCATGCTCAAGCTTGTGTAGTGATCGAATAAATAAGCAGATTCAAACTGCACTATGTAGGCAATTTAGTTTTTGTTACAGTTCCAACCAGCAGAGAACCAACAATTAAACAGCTATTCAATTAGATAAGAACCTTGAATGACATTGTTGTCCTGATCAATTTTTTCCAATGCAGGGATGCAAAAGGCAGCAGTCTTCCCAGTTCCATTCTTGGCCCTCGCCAAAATATCACTTCCTGTTAGAACAATTGGAATACTCTCCTCCTGAATTGGTGATGGCCTCTCAAATCCCTTTTCGTAAATTCCCATAAGCAGTTCACGCTTTAGAAAATAGTCTTCGAAATCATTTCCCTTGGTTGCTGTCACATCCTGCCAGGAACAATAACTATTGTAAGTGCACACACTTCAAGTTGAGAAGCAGCAGTCGAAGGGCAATTTGTGTAGTGTAGAACAATGTGCGTGACTTCTATTAAACAATTAAAATCACTGCGGTAAGGAACCATCAGACACGAATGTACATGAACCACATCAATGAACATGACACAATTAACCAAATTACTTGGAGACTTAAGTATCATAGCGATAGGAACCAGTGATGTTACGTTATGTTAACTTAGTGTTAAAAACATGTATTATATTTTTAGTAGAACCATTATTGACAAAAACGATAAAACGCTCTTATCGCAAGAATAGACTCAGATTCATTGAGCACTTGCATGAAAATTGTGACAAGGCCACAATTATGAGCGACAACTGCACAAGCTTCAGATAGGAGAACAATTTTCAGCAAATTTCGGCAACTTTACAGAAGTATTTGTTTTTTCTCTTCCGGTATCTCTGGATCAATTTGTTTTCCTAATGAGAGGCGACTGCACAAGTGCATTTAATAGGTTTTCAGGGAAAATATTATGGGACTAAAAGATCAGACAGTAGCCTTCCCTATTTCTTCAAAGTTAATTTTGATGTGATTTGAAGAGGAATGCCACAAGATTGAGATAGATATATTTGATTTTTTTCCTTATAATTAAGCAATACAACAAAACCTCACTTAACCCAACACCTTAACAGCCATGCACCATCTGTGTCCGCAATCTGAAGGCACCCCTCTCTTTCAAGAGGATTCGCTTTCACGAGACGTTGATAAGATCCATCCATTTAGCAGAATATTAGGATGTCATAACCTTAAAAGTTAAAATGGAAGGGTGAGGTTCAAATGAGTAGAGGCTTATAGCAGATACCTAGTAATAGTTGACAAATTGGAATTCAAATGAGTATTTTGGTTTGAAACTGCTCCTGAAAAAAAAAAAAAAGGATTTACGTCCAAGTTAAACTTGGTGATGGAAGTCTTACTTCCCAAACTGACTAATGTTGAAGAACCAGCGGATAAGTTGTGGTTAGGTCTAGGAGTGACCCAGAGCTTGCTTGTTTTCCCGATACTAATAAAGTATATTGCTGGTTTTGTTTATTTCTCAATTCTAGTCCAAATATCTATAGAGTGGCTCAGAGTTGTCACACAAGGAAATAACAAGGTCGATAGAAAAGAACTGCACAATTAAGGAAAATGGGCAGAGAATATTATAATATTCCTATAGCAGGGATAATTAAGAATTAAAGCATCACATAAACCTCCATACAGAAGCTAGATGGTATTTAGCAGATATTATTTGTCCTCTGCCAGTTTCTTTTTGGTTGTAGGGTCGTGGGAGGAATAAGATAATTTATTAATAAAAGTACCAAAAGCTACCGATACGTACAAAAGATCCTGGAATCTTTTCTTTTGTTTTGAAATGGTAAATATATTATACACTGAGACACAAAGAGTGCAGTAAAGTTACATACCAAAGGAAGCCATAGAGATCCCTAACTATCTATGTAATGATTCTAAGAACTGTAACAACGTTTCAGGTTCGTTTAAAAGGATGACGCAGATATTATCTTAAGAGTGGCATTGGCTTTTCCTTCGAAAAATCTACTTTTTCTGCCACCATATACATGTTAGAATGGTGTTCCATATAATCTTCATAGCTTTTGACAAATCTTTCCTGCTCCGTCATTTCAAAACATCTGCAGTAGACCTGGAATGACCCATTTCAAACCTAGACTATAGAACATTTGCCAGACCTGAGTTACCATGGAACAGTGAACAAAAAGATGGTCAACTGTCTCAGAGATTTCTCCACACATGTCGCATATACTGCTTAGCTGGACGCCTCTTCTTTGCAAGTTATCACTGAATGAGTCGAGCTTCTTTCATCACTAACCAAACAAAACACATTACGTTGCAGGTGCTTTTAATTTCCGGACTAGTTTCCGTGGAACATCAGGATTCCCCAAAGGCCTTCGTTTTAAAACCATGTAGCAGAACCTACTGTGAAACTTCCATCCATATTTCCTTTCCATACTTCACTGTGTTTTAGCTCTTGGAAGCTGAGGAGAACATTATAAAACCAGTCATCCCACTAAGCTCCCAGTAATTTAAATTCGTTCTGAAAATAACATTCCAACAATTGTTTTCTTCACTTTTGAACTACCGTGCTGTTGGTATCTTGAGTTAACTAATGAAGATGAGATAACTGGTCTCTCAAAATAGTTCCTGGAGTCCTTTATGGACAATTTATAATGGATAAAAGGATCTAACGATTCTAGAATGTTTTCCCAGTCATTTTCTACACACCAAGTATGAATTTTTACAAGAAATGTATTCCTTTTCCCTTCAGAGCAGCCACTATTTAAGGACAGCCCAGTGCACTAAAGTTCCCTCTATGCGCAGGGTCCGGGGAAGGGCCAGAACATCCACTATTCTCACTAGAAAAATTGTCCGCCATGCATCGCCCTTGAACCCCGTGCAGGTTCATAAACATACACAACTCTGCCAAGAAAATCTGCAATGGATAAATATGTGATTGATTGACTACATTGCTTCTTCCACAACCAGAGCATCTGATACACAACATGTAACCTCTTCTCTGTAAATTATCTTGTGTTAGGCACGTGCCAATGATAGCAATCTATCCAAAGCAGGCCAGCTTTGAAGATCTGTAGCCTCCCAAATCATCTTCCAGGACACTGCCTCTCAACTGTTATGTTCTGTGTTACCAGCTTTTTGAAGCATGCATCAACTGCAAATTTCCTATATTTACAACCTATCCAGATTATTGAATCTTCAACACTTCCCATCAGCACCACTTTATTTAGTATCTCGAGTAGGTAATTTACTGTTCCTATTAATAAAATTTCTATTCACTACCACCCAAATTCAACTGCCAATATTGCTCTAACTTTTTCTTTTTAAAGTAAAGTGTTTGAACTGGTATCTGAATTTCAAGACTTGTTAACATCCCAAAGCTGCAGATGACCCAAGGATTTGGTTTAATGGTAACTGTAGTACAATGGTATTGTGCTAGGCGCACATCACGAGTTTGAATCATCTAGCATATAAATTGAGAACGATGGAGGAGTGAACCTATTAGCCACGAGTTACGAAATGGTATACAGAGGACTTCTTGATTATCAAATACAAAATATCTCAAAGCTCCAGGTGATCTGTTCAACTAAAAAGTGAAGTTGGAGGAAGGGGCCAAGGGGGCGGGGGGACAAGAGAATTTCTTTGATAGGAGAATAGATGCTTTCACCTTGTGGGATGGAAGGCTCTGATTTCTAGTAGAAAAACTGGGGGACTGAACATTACAAACTTAAGAATGCATAACAAAAGCCTTCTATGGAAATGACTTTGGAGATACAACACTGCAGTTAAAGCATTACGAAAGAAGGTGATCCAACAGAAATATTGTCAGCAGGGATACTGGAGTACTAAACCTGTGGGGTCTTCTATCGGAATTCACGTTTGGAAAGCTATCAGAAAATATTTGGGAGGAGTTTGTTGTCAATACTGGGTTCAGAATTGGTAATGGGAGGAAAATATCATTTTGGAGTGATAATTGGTTAGGGCATGGCCCTCTTAAAGAGTTGTATCCAGATCTACTCAGTCTGGTTTTTTCACCTGATGTTACAATTGAGGATGTTTGGAATCAGTTGGTTGCAATCTTTCTTTTAGAAAACTAAATGACTGGGAGACTCTGAGAATGGCCGATTTTCTGAAGACACTAAAAGTATTCCATGGTACAAGCAATATGGATGAAACTGGTGTGGATAGAAGCAGCAACAAAAAGTTTACCACTAGATTTTGCTTTAATTTTGTCAAATACATCTACGCTGGTGTTGACTGGCCTTGGAAAGCTATGTGGAAAATTAAAGCTCCTTTTAAGGTGATCTGTCTCACTTGGTTTGTGGCTAGAAAAGCATGTTTGACACATGAGAATTTTCAGAAAAGAGGTTTTCGGTTGACTTCAAGGTGCTATTTGTGTCAGTAGGAGGCAGCAATAACAGTCATTTATTTCTTTATTGTAAGTTCACATAAATCTTATGAGAATTGTTTTTGTCTTTGGTTAGGATCAAATGGGTAATGCCTAGAGATAATAAGGCCTTACTATGGAGCCGGCTCAATGCAATAGGTAGCTTTAGAAAGAAGTGGAGGAATGTTTTCCCGACCTGTATTTGGTGGACTCTACGAGACAGAGAGGAACCCGATGTGTTTTGAAGACAAGTCATGGTCTATACAGAATATCAAGATGAAGTGTTCTCTTTATAACCATTATGTTTGTGCTAGCTTGCAAGCACCTTGACCAATTCCAATGGGTACCTGCTACCTCCCAACACAGATACCGACCATAGCATGGACAGATGGGAAGAAGTCACCTATTTTTGTCTCCGTTGGGAATTGAGCCTGAAACTTCATGGTACTCAAACCATTTAATTGACCACTAGACCACACTCTTGGGTGAAAAATGAAGTGCTATGTGTCTTCTATTCTCTATAGTAACTTGTAAGGATAATTATATAGAGGATGCAAAAACATTTTTTTGAATCTTTAGAAGCCTTGTAAGATGAGCAAGGCCTTTGGCACTTGTAATATGGATTCCGGTACCAACTTGGTGCTGATGAATACACATGTCACCTTTCTCAAAAAACAATAAATAAACTTTGCTAGAAGGAAATAGTTGGAGGTGGTTGAACATGATGAGAGAAAACAGAGTGCGGGTCAAAATCATTGAGACATGTATAATTGCTTCAATTAAGGACGAGCACTTCTCAAATCTTTAGATGCATTCTCACTTTAAGTAGTTGAAACCTCTATTGTAAAAGAATGAGGATGGGATGCACAAGAGCTTCAAAATGTTGCAACACCCTGCTTATGACTTCTGAGGATAAAAGTTAATAAGCCAAAAATGGTGTCTAAATCTGAAAGTATCAAGGGGTGCAGGATTCATTTGGTCGTTTTCTCCATAACAAAGCATTGCTGGGAAAGGTCAGAGAAGATTGCATTTGCTAATTCCTGAGTCAACTTCCTTAATGAGACCTTTAGCTCTTCCAAGAAAGCGGAAGGTAATTGAGCATAGACCCAACCTCCAAATCCATGACAATGTTGCAAAGTTGCCAACATGATCAGTAAATGAGCCCCACCACATACGGCAAGTTCTGCTCCGACAAAATCCCTACTTAGCTACCATAAGTAATTAGAAGCATCCAATTCCCCAAAGCTCCTCCATGGGCCTGAAGCTAGGCCAAGAAGTCAAAATGAACAGTCTCTTCCTATATTTGTTACAGACAATAATAACAATATCAATTCTATGTAGATGTAAAATGGTGCATAGAATGCTCAAAAACAAACAACCCAAGGGCTGAAATATTATAGACATAAAGTATGTCCAGGTTTTCATGACAAAAATTGATTATGAGATGCTTGTAGACTACATCGGATAAGTCACATATGAAAATAACATCTGATCTTTAAAGGTGTGAAATCAAGATGCAGTATGTGATACATAAATGGGAAGTTCAAATAAATTATGTTAGATAAGAAGAGAAACAAACATGGCTGTCGAAACAGTCATTTCATAGAGAATATCAAATATAAATTGAACTGCATGAGCATGAGATGACAATTGCCAATTTACCTCTGTCCTGTATCGAGCATCAAGTGGTGGTATCTTCAACCTAGCCTTCCAATCTTGTGAACTAAATAAGAGGGAAAACAAAAAATGACTTATTTCTCAATATCACAGAATGAATTTTAACTTTTGAAACATAAAACTCATAGTCACCCTACCTACTATTATCAACCAAAATCTTAAGTTGAACTTCGGGGAAAGAAAAGTTTTTCATGATATAATCTATTTGATCTTTGAATTTATAATCAAATCCATCCCTCCTTTCCATTACCAATGCCATATGTAAACTAAACCTCCCTTCAAAGTGCAGGCACTTTGTGGTCTGTGGCCTCAGAAAGACTCGCCACTAATGATTTGCTTCCGACAACAAGACATAAAAAGGCTCTTCCCGCGAACATTTGTGTTGACTGCAAACATCACAATGAGATCCATAACTTTCTCCTTCATATTGTCCCATTGCTATGTTGTAAAGGGAAGTGTGGTATCCCTGAGATTATATTGTCCTATCGCTGCATCGTAAGGGAAAGTCTAGTATCCCCAGTATTCTATTCTTTTTCCGAGTATGCCATTGTGTGTTTTTAGAGAAAGGTAATTGTTTAATAAAACTAGAGCTAAAGAAGTGTTGTAGTAATTACAAGTGAACAAAAAAAAAACAAAAGAAAAATCCTTTTTCAATCTTATAAGGATTCTAAGAGACTAGGTATTGATTTTGTTTCATTTACAAGTTCCCCTTTACACCAAAAAGAAAGCAAAAGTATGCAGTTGTTGAAAAGAGTTGGTTTGTTACTCCCTTTGTCCCAATTTATATGACACACTTTCTTTTTTAGTCTATCCCAAAAAGAATGACACATTTCCTTGTTTGGCAAATGTTTAATGACACTATCAACAATTTACCCATGTTGGGATCTACTTATTTAGCAAGAAGTCTACAAAGGTAAGAACTATACTACTATTTAAAATTTTATTTATTTTAAGGGTAGTTTTGGAACATTGCAAAGTGCTCCCACATTTCATATACTCCGTGCCCAATCAAATTCCGTGTTCCACAACAGTATCTTGTTTCTTCTCCTTCTACCTATGTTTCAACAGTTTCAATATGTTGCAAAAGGTATCTCTTTTTTTTTTCTGAAACTGGTGACTTTGTCTATATATGTTAAAATCCGAATCTTATAAGAGTTGTAGTATTTACAAAGTACTACCTACATCTATGATTCTATGATCCTATGCCTATAATGAGTCTAAAACATCAATAATAGAAACATGATCATTTAAAAGTAACTGATTACACCATAAAATAGTAGCAAGATGCAATTGAGCTTAATCTGTTGCATATTGTTCTCTATGCGCTCAAAACACCTAGAATTCCTCTTCTTCCATATTGTACACCAAATGCTTGCTGAGACTATCCTCCACGGCTCCACCTGCCTCTATTCTTGGCAAATAACCCAACTTGTTCCCAGCTTGTTAAGGCCTCTGTAATTTTCCCAGGCACGCTCCATCCATAGATGTCATGTGATTCTACAATGTAGGAATAGATGGTTCACAGTCTCTGCCAGCTCCCCACAAGTACTCACTGTTTTTAAGAACAGAAAGCGCAAAAAAAAAACTAGGTCCATGGGGTTGAAATGAGATGCACACTTCTTTCTTTGAAGGACTTATAGAAACTAGTGTACCAAATATATATGAATTTAATATTCTAATAATCAAATTGCAATTAAAACATACAATAATGACGATATTAATGCAACTCATCAATGAGATCCAAAGAACCAATAGTTTCTCATTGGGATCACTTTGCACAACAATGTTTAAAGCACATACTTCTTTAAAGCTCATGACTTCACCCATAAAGTATAACCCATGGCTTCACATCGCTTAAAACCACCAAGTATCCCCACGATACTAGGACATGTTGGTTTTAGAATTGGTACAGTAAGGATTGAAGCACTATGAAGTCTTCTTTTTTCTTTTTTTGATAAAGTAAGTGGTATTAATAACAACATCAAGAAGATGCAAGAATTACAAGATATGGCATTTGAGCTTAAAAAAATCTCTGGCTACAATAAACCATCCAAGCAGAACTAGTGAGTTAATAAAGTCCTGAAGTTGTTCTGCATTAACAGCAGGATACAAGTTGGACCAACTAAACAAATTTGCAATACACCTAGCCTTCAAAATGCTTAAAGCAGTTGACTGTCCATCAGTAAACAAGGATTTCTCAAGATCAAGAGAAACCAACATACTTCTTCTAGGATATAGAAGAAGATAACAATTCATTATGTCTACAACGACACAAGATGTTGGCACACTTTCGAACAAAGGCTCTAGAGAAACCTAAAAGACAAAGATAGAAATAAGTTACTCCCTCAATCCCATTTCTTTTCTTTTTGCTTAGTCCCAAAACGAAGGATATTTTTCTATATTTAGTAACAACTTAATTTTAAACTTTCCATTTTACCAAATGAGATGATTCACAGCCACACAAATATCTATGGCTTGTTCTGAACCACAAGTTTAAAGTTTTCATTTCATTCTTAAACTTTGTGCCCAATCAAACATCATCACATTAATTGGGACAGAAGGAGTATAAATTTTGATGAAACTATGTTACAAACAAATTATCACACAATCAGGAAAGACACGTGAAAGTGGAGAGTAGGAGAGGGCCTTTCTTGCTGAGGTCTTTCTATCATAGTTTACTGAAAGAGAGGATTTAGTTTGTTTTTTTTTTTGAAACTGGTAACATGTGTGTGTATATTAGATGTACACCATATCAGTGCTATCTACAATTACAAAACCCAACCATGCTTAGGACTACTGCTTCACAAGGAACATATCATATAAGTAGTGATTCAGTCTCCTCTACAGTCTCCTCTACATAGTTTTCTTTACACCAAAAATGAAACAAAAGAATACAATTCATCTCGACTTTCTGCTTCTGTCTTCAAAAATTCTATAGTTCCTCTCCTTCCAAATTGTCCACCATTTACAAGCTGGGAAAGTTTTCACCACTTCTTTTGTCTCACTACACCACCATTATAGTTCTAGCACTTCACTAAATTACAGCTTCATGTTGGCATAGACCATCTTAGTCCTACCGTGTTCAAAAAAAGTTGCAACAATTGTCCAGTTATAGGACAGTGTAGAACCAGATGGCTATTCTTTTCTCTGGCTGCACCGCACATACAACATCTAGAGCATAGATGAAATCCCCTACTTCTTAAGTTTTCTTAAGTGAGACATGCTTCTCTTGCTACAAGCCAAGAAAACCATAAAATTTTGTAAGGGGTCTTAGGCCTCATATGTTTGCACTTAATGGAGATCTGAATTTGAATGGTTCAGACATTAGGCCATTAAGTGTGTTTATCTTTTCTACTTAATAATCTCTTAGTGGGTCCAAAGGGTCTCTGTGACAGAGTCTTATTCTCATTCAGACTCTTTTAAAGATACTTTTATTTTCGTAATAACATTGTGCTCCATATTTTGTTCATTAAAAAAAAATTCAAGTCTCTCTCCTTCACCAACTTTATTAGTTATCCGAATTATTTTCCTTAAACTTTTAATTTTTGTTCTTGCTACTTGTTTATCAAGAATTGATAAAATTTATTGTAAAAAATTTATTTGATTGAAGTGCAACGCAACTTCATAAATGTATTGTTGAGATCGAACGATGATGCATTTATAAATTTATTTTAAATCATTTAAATGTATCATGTTCATTTTTTATTTTAGAGAAGAGTACATGAGCAAACATATTATAGAATAGAGATGTTTCACTTATTTATGGAAGATTCATTTGTGTTGAATTTTTTTTCAAAAGAAGATGACTACATTTTTTCCTAACAATTATTTTTATTATTATAATTTATATATGTAGTCCATGTCATTCCATTTTATTTTTATCAAACTTTTTTTGAGATTGGTAACTGTTATTTTTATCAAACTTAAAATATTTATTTATAATTCAAATATCTTAACGTTTATCAAAGAATGACCTTTTTTTCTAATATTTTGTTAATATATATGTGTGTGTGTGTGTTTAAAAACAAATAGTCTTAATCATTCAGTTTCAGATTTACAACAAAATTGAATGATTCAGATGTGCATTCATTCAGATTCATATGTCTTAATCTTAATGAAAACAAATGAGGCCTTAGTCTTCCAGTTGAACTTCCACTGTCACTGGTCAAATTGTGCATTTTGCCTAATCTGGAAGTTGTATGCAGATTTGACAGTGTAGACTCCATCACTTCCAGGTTTTCAGCACAACATATCCTCAGATTCTTTGAAACCTTGGAAAGATTCCAAGGTCTTGAACAAGTCACGACTCTTATCAATTCCCAATCATTTAATAATCATCTAAAAGTTTCCACCGATGTATTCCTTTAGCTAATTCAAGGTTAGTATCTGGTTAAGTAGCAATAGTATAGAAATCAGAGAACAAAACTTTTAAAGGACCACGCCCAAGCCAGTTGTCATGCTAGAAGAGAATTTTACTCCCCTTGCCGACTTTGAAACTGACATTTCAAGCCAAAAATGGCCACAAGGATGTAATGGCTCTCCAAACTCCAACTCCAAAGGGATAATTCACATTATTTGAGCACCACTGGTTGTGTTGGCCATATTTATATTGCACAAACCTTAGTCTCTAAGTTATATCTCCATAACCATTTCATCAACAAGCTTAGGTTATGGACTTTGAGGTCTCTAGTGCCAAGTACTCCATCCTTTTTACCGGTGATGAGGCAGTCCCATGTGACCAAATGAATTACTTTATTTTCTTTGTTGCCTTGCCAAATAAATTTCCTCCTTAAGGAGTCTGATCTTTTCAAAACCTTAGAAGGGATTGGAAACAAAGACATGACATAAGTCGGGAGAGCATCCAATACACTATTGACTAGAATGACCCTGCCACCCAATGATAAATACTGACCCTTCCAGTTAGTTAGTAGTGATTTCAAAGTATGATTCTTCGCATGGATGGAAACAAATGGAGGAGATCCTAAATTCTGAAAAGCTAAGGAAAAAGAAAATAACCAATGTCAATTGGTGCTTCATGTGCAAACAGTTAAGAGAAGATGTGAACCTCTTTTTTTTGGAACTGAAGAAGATGTGAACTATTCACCTGTGCATTCCCAGGTTACAAGCTGGTTGTGATGGACTGTACTGAGTCTATTTTGTGAATTTATTTTGGAATATAGTAGTCAATGTTGGGTGCAGTCACAGTGAAAGACGTGATTCATAGTTATGCCTTCAGAAGGAGGTGAAGGAGATGCAAAGCATGGGACATAGCTCCTCCTACCATGATGTAGGTACTCTGGAGGGAAATAGACAAGATAGCATTTGAAAGGGTGGAATACAAGTTCGCAAAGTTAAATATGTCTTTATTTTTGGTCAATTGTTTGTGCACCTACAAGGCTCTTGTAAGCTATAACTTAAGATTATTTGGAACTATTTGTAGAGAACCATACTTGTGTATCATTCTCTTGTTTTCAGCCTTCTTGTATATTGTCCCACCCCCACACAATCCATGAATTAATACTTTCCAACTCCAAAAAAGGGCTAGGCAGTCCGAGCATCTATGTCCAACTAATGCACTTGGTTCAGGAAATTAGGATTTTCAATATCGTAAACACGAGTTCTTCAAGTAGAGTTGCACCCAAGATGTCAGATAACAAGCTACCCCTTCATGCTAGAATTAAGTCGAAACTTGTAAACAAGCTAAGCTAGCTTGGGATATGAAATGTGGTAACAATTTAAGCTAGAGCTCAATCAAGGTCCTAGTATCAAATTAATGGCTCACATCTATGTCAACGTGAAAATGAAACTCTGAAGCCCAAAAACGACAACAACATACCTAGTGTGGTCCCTAGAGTTGGGGTCTAGGAGGGAAGAGTGTACGATGACCTTACCCTCACCTTGTTAAGGTGGAGAGGTTGCTTCTGATAGACTCTATGCTCAAGAAAGGTGTTTTAAAACATATTTGAAAATTGCAAGAGTGAAAGAAGCTGAAGTTCTCAAGCCCAACTAAATTCCATTTTGACATACTCTAATGGAGCTCAAAAGTCAGCCCTATAGAATAAGTTTACAGCTAGCATAAAGCCATAAATAAATTCCATCTTGAACCCACTCTAATGGAGCTCCAAAGTGAGCCCTACCATAAGTTTTCCGACGACATTGTTAGAGTTTACTCAGCAAACTGAAGTGAATGTTGGTATAGGTTAAGACATGTACATAGACATCATGGAACTGCAGTTTAAGGCCTTAAACACTGCAGTACTATTTAGCAATTGGAGGTTTTTCTGTCTTGCTGCATGACTCCATCAAGCTACTTTCCGCTAATAATTATTATAAAAATAAATAAGGGATTCCTCCAAACAATTAAAACTACTTTAAAGCCGTGAGGATTTAGCAAAAGAAGTTAAGTCATTTATAAACAAAATGACACCCACTAAAATGCCAATTTAACTATTCTCTGCTAATCAATTCTAGCTTGTCATATTATCTAATTATTGCTGATTCTGGTTTGGCCTTGGGACTTCCATGTTGGAGGTCTCAAGTTCAAAACCCCTTGCCAGCGAAAGCAAGGAGTTTGCCTTCTGGGTCAAGCTCATCGCGCCGGGCATGCCTAGTGTGGGTTACCTCTCTTGTGTGGTTTGTGAGCTATTGCAGAGGAGCGGGAGTTTTACCCTGTGCGCACCCAAAGGGTAGCGGCTGTGGGTTTCCCTTGTCATAAAAAAAAAAAAAAAAAAAAAAAGGTCCATGCTACTTCAGCTAAACTTAATACTCGTCCCGCAACTTATGCTACTTCAGCTAAACTTAATACTCGTCCCGCAACTTTCAATAACACAGGAACAAAACACACATAAAAGAAAGAAGAAAAAAAAACTTCGTCTAAATTTCAATATTCAATCAGGGGCAGAGTCACCATTGCACTGATGGCTTCGGCAGAAAATCTCCACCCCTGTATTAATTAAAGTTCTCAAATTTAAAAAAAAAAAAAAAAGGAGAGTAAGAAACCCCTACCTTCCGTTTTCGGATTGCACAGTCTTTTCAACGTCATCAATAGCAGAATCTGATGATAACTGGTTCCTTCTCATCCACTGATGTGTTTGCTGGTTCTGAAATTGTTGTTGATGCGGCACTGAACTTCTCTGCATATATTGCTGTTGATTTCTTTGTTGAAAACTAGTGTTAGCATTAGGATGCATACTACCGCCGCCGTCGCCGCCCATCCAAGGCGGCGGATATCCTGATCTCGAATTCATTACCAGTATTGTTCACCGACGGCCGGAGGAACTCTATGTACGTTCTCCGATGAGAAAAGGACCGAAAATTAGATTAGGAGTCCAGGAATTTTTATTTTTTGTACATGAAAATTAATAACTACTACTAAATTAAAGTTATTACTACAAAAAAATAATACTACTATAAACTATCATTTCTGGCGAATTTCACATTTAAATTATTTTATTTTCATTATCTCAAGTTTATAAGTAACTTTTAAGAGTTAAAACCCCCTTAACTTTGACAAATGAACACATAATTTTTGTAATAATTGAAAACGCAACAAAAAAAAGTGTTGATGATTTGATTAAAAATAATTTAAATTAAAAAATCATATTAATTAATGATTTCTAGCGTGCTTGAAGCTTGTTCATTGACACTTAGGATATTGAAGTTGTTAGATTGATACAAAGTTGACGACGACTCCAACTTATCCTTTGAGACGTTGACGTAACATATCATAAGAATTCATGAAGTCAATGACAACTTGTAGCAATATTCTAGGGAAATTGAGCACTCTTGAAAATAGGTTAAAGTTGTTGGGGTTAAGATAGGTAGAGGGTCAGGCATGGATTAAAATTTGGGGATGAGTTGTCTTTAAGAAAAATAGGTAATTTGTGCTGATTTGGAGTTTTTCATCCAATTAAAGGGTACAGGCAATAAGCTTGTAGAAAACTAGCTATTAAGCGTAAGTTGAATAGTGTTTTTGAGTCAAATGAATAGATTCTCTAATGAGTTCCCCTAGCAATGTTGCTTGTAAATTCACTTTTTCTTGTAGAACGGTGAGAACTGGTACTTAATATTTCTTCCTTCAATCTTTAGCATATAAATTGACACTTATACATAGTTTGTCAGCAATTAAAATTTTACATGATCTTGACTGTTGATTCAGAAATTATTATGCTTCAACAAAAATCTTTTAAACCCTGAAGCTAGAAAATAAGTTGTTTTATTATAATTACTAATTAATTTACTAAATTTGGCTTAAAGTGTAACCGCTCAATCCCTTTTTTTAATTAGATCACTTAAATTTATGTTTACGAACCTTGTACAATTCACATAAATCACTTAAAACTTATTTGTGTTGTTTTGATTTGAATTGGAGTGGTACAAATGTGGTTTGAATAGCAATGTATGTGTACTATTATAATTTTTCTCTACCATGAGTCACAATTGCGCACAAGGGTAGGGGGTTATCACACATAGGATTTTGGAATTGATGGTGCACTGCTGCACTGGTCTATCTGGATGTCTAGGGCATTATTATACTAAGATACCACGATTTTATCGAGGCATCGTGATCGTTCTAAATCACTATTTCAAATATAAATTGAATAGAATTGGGGTATTTAAGTTTTTTCACCGTGGTTAGATCTAGAAACCTCGAGAAAACTAGAATTTTAGTGAGGAAATTGTCTACAAATATCAGGTAAATACTATTATCAAGTTATTAGTTGATTAGCTTGATTGATCACTTGTTTAAAGCTTAAATCGCAAGATTTTCGATGTGAAAATAAGGGGTGGGGGGGGGGGGGGGGGGGGGGGTGAGGTGTTAATATAATTTTGATTTTGTGGAATTATAGATAACGTGAAATTGTAATAAAATTTGAATTTTAACCTTGAGGCTTGACTTTGACTATTTGATAAACTTCACTTCTAATTCTTAAAAAATTAAAATATAGAATAGTTGAACCTGTTTAATCTCATAATATATTATTTTGTATAGATTAAGAATATTAGAAGCTCTAACAAAAGATAAAGTTATTTGTAGAGATCAGAATATTGTAGACCGAGATAATTTAGGACTTTAACTTTGATTTTTTTTCCCAAATTGAATTTGTTTGTGATACATTATGTATATAGGATGCCATATAGAAAAGGTGACAAACACTTATGCAAACACCATGGATATTTATTGGGATATATTATGGTATTCCCTCCCTTCTTTGGCTGTCTGATTTGTTGCATAACTATGTACACACATATTTGTTGTGCTAGGTGCATCAGTGCTACTAATGTTTGAGTCTTTATCATACCTGCACTAATTTATCAACATTCCTATGTCGTTTTTTCATCTTCTCTGTCTATGGTCTATGTCAATTGGTCTTATTTGGATGAGTTGCATTTCGTTTTCTTTTTGTTATTCGGTGGATGATGTTGTAGACGGAGCAACGGCTAAATATGTTAAAGAATGCAATATCTTTGTGAACTTAAAGCATGAGACATCAACTTCATCTTTAATGTGAATAAAATTCATTCCATTCAAGATGAGTAACTCATGTTGTATATTTTATTAATTATACTTTATGCATTATTTGCCTCCTCCGTTCAAAACTGTTTAGTCATTTGATGTTTTTTTTTTGTTTTCCACCCTGTGTTCGGAAGTCCACATTAGAGCTCCGACTAAATCTGGATCGCGCACTGCAGGCCCATTCGGGAGTGGCGCTCTCAACAGGATTTTCTCCATACCCAGAGCTCGAACCCGAGACCTGTGATTAAGGGTGAAATACTTTCACCAGTGCACCACAACTCATGTTGGTAGTCATACGATGTTATCTTCTATTGGCAGGATAAGTTATAATGACTATCTTAAAATCAACACTGACCTCTATTTTGTTGGGGTTGGTCGATGATATAACTATTATTAAAAAAGATTTTAATGACAATTATTTAAAGGCAATAATATATTTACCGCTTATTAATTAAGTAAGAGGAAATATTAGTTGAAACGTAACATTAGCCGATAAAACAATATCCTTTTACTAAAAATAAAAAATTATTTTTTCATTATAAATTATTAATTAAAATCGATTTCTATCATTTTATTTCTCCTCTAATTCTCTTCATTACTCTTCATTTTCATAAAACAGAGAAAGATGAGATAGAAGAAAGTGAGAACAAATTCAAAGAGATCCAAACTTATGAGTACAGAGAAAACAAGAAGATATCTTCACTTAGTCCTTAAAAGTTAAAAAAATTACAAGACAAAGATTATTAGAGTTTTAAAGGATGTAAATAATAGATCAACCAAAAACTATTAAATATATTTCTCCTTTGCATTCCATTTTCACAAATAAAAAGTCCTTGAAGTGCTCTAGAAATGCAGTTATGTATATTAAGGATTATAATTCTTGTTGGCAATACTATAGGGAATTGAGGTAAGTATCCTTCTTAAAGCAAGTTCATTGAAATTTATATGAAACTCATTTGAATTCAGTATAATGATTGGATATTCATTGTCCTCCATGTGATTAAACATGTTCAGATGAAGTTTAGTGTGATAAGTATCAATCTAATTTTCTACTCCCTCCGTCCCTTTTTAGTTGTCCACTTTAGAAATGACACACAGATTAAGGCAACAATGATTAGCACAGTGAAGTTACAATTTTACCCTTATGACAACTTTTCACTTCAAAATTACAACCACTTATTTGAATTCAAGTAAAATAAATTTGAGGGAAACAAACATACACTTTTACAATTTTCAAGAAGTGTAAATAAGGGTATAATAGGAAAAAATTTGTTGTCCTTTCTTGATTTGTCAAAATGGACATCTAAATAGGGACAACTAAAAAAGGAAATATGGACAAGTAAATAGGGACGGAGGGAGTATCATTTTAAAATTTAGGTCAAGTTCAAGATTTTGGATAAAGTCATTCAACCCTGTAAAGAACTCATTTGGTGGAACTAAATAAGGTAATGCATGTGCTTGGGGTAAGTATGGCTCTTGAGGTGGTTTGTTGAAGTTCCATAAGGAACTCATTTGAAATCAATATTCTAGATATTATATTCTCTTAGAAGTTTTTGTACATGTTTAACTAGTTCCTAAGGAGAATGTTTAAGTTGTATATTTCAATAGTATTTCATTTAAAACAAGGTTGGGACTAACTCTTTTTATTTAAATAAGATGATAAATTGATATTTTGTTTATTCTGCATTATCAATTTTAAAATGGTTGGTAAGAATTCTCCTATATAAATGTTAGAGTAGGTGCCCGACAGTTTGCTTGTTATAATTTGGCATCAAAGCCTAGGTTACTGGTCTTCTAGTACAAGAGCAAATATCAAATAGAGTCCTGGAGATTGGTGTGTTGATGTCCACATTTAATCTTCAGGGAGTTATGAAGCATTCTAGGACATTATTTCACTTCTTCATTTCTTTCGTGTGGTCTGTTGTCTTGCTTGTATAGATTGAATTCAATTGATATCTATTTCAATTGGTATCTCAACAAAGGGAACTGAATGTCATTGTCACGATTGAAATGACACAAACAAAGGAAGTTGAAACCAAAAAGGTTTCAATTGATATATGGCCTTGGAGGCTATGTAAATGCATTGATATTCAGCTAGTGGTCATCTATGGTGCGTATAAATGTAATGAATATGACTTGATGATTTAGTGACAAAATTTGATGATTGTGACTATGTGCATTATATTGTCTGAATAACTTTAAAAGTGTGAAGTTTAATTGTTTGTATGACTGAAATTGTAGTCAGGAAAAGTCATAACATGGTTATATGTGATGGATTAATAATTGTACATTCGTAGTGATTCAAAATATTAGATCCGAGCAAATTCAAAATTAAGATTATTTTTGGACAAATTACTTAAGTACACAACATTACTTTACTTATTCTCAATATTTCCCTACTCTTTTACGAAAATACAAAAATCCCTTATTTTCCCCCAATTCAACTTAACCGGATACTTTATTAGTTTAAGTATCCGCCCGTTATTAATTAAAGTATCCGCGCTGCTATATTATGCATCCGCCCGTTAATTTAAGTATCCGCCCGTTATTAATTAAAGTATCCGTGTCAACAACTTAATAATTTAAGTATCCGCCCTTTATTAATTAAAGTATCCGCGCTGCTATATTATGTATCCGAAAGACACTAAAAAAGGGATTTTTGGTAATTAATGAAAGAGTAGGGATAGGAAGTAATTTCTTTCTCATACTATGTGATTTGCCTAATTTTTACATTATTTTTTTATAACGAAGAATTAGGACATTATTTTAAAAATACATAATTTAAATTTTTTTGTATAATTAGAAAATAGAAAATTATTTAAAAAATTATAAGTTAGATATTTTTAATATTATAAAATTATTTATGTTTTGAATTGATAGTGACTAATTAGTTTTAAAAAATAAAAGTTCAAATTTGAATATAATACTTGTAGTTTTAAAGATGGTTGCACTTTCCCAACTTTATCATAATTATAGAATAATTCAAACACCGAGAGATATTCTCTAATAATCCACATGTAATTATTTTGTTTGTTCAAAGATGTTTTTATTTATATATATGTTCAATTTTTATCTCAATCTTGTAGAAATTAGATTACTAAGGTTTGGTTGGACTTCTCAAATCATTGAATAATGTGATCGTGAAAGCTTTAAAAATAAGAAAAAGAATCTTTTAATATAGTAAAAAAAATAAATCTGAATTTGTTTACTGTTTCATTTGTATTATTAGCATCTAAAAATCTTTTTTTATAGGAAACTTTTTTGATTTTTTTGAATTTGTTTATTGTTTTATTTGTATTACTAACATCTAAAAATCTTGAAATCATATCTTCTGAATAAAATCTTTTCAAATTTTTTGAATTTTTGTGCATTTTAAAGACAAATCCCAAATATTGAATAATATTATTTTTAAATATTTTTTTTGTTTACAATTTTGACAAAATGGGTTTGATTCAACATGGAAGATAATTTTTTTTTATATATATACTAGTTTTCGAACACGTGCGTTGCACGTGTACCCCATCTAAATTGGCATAAATTGTTTCAAATTATCATTGTATAAAAAATAGTTTTATAATTAAATTACATGAATATTGTTCATTTTCAAATAAATTAGTTCAAATATTTGGAATCTACTTTTGGATATCAATAACAAATTAAAAATGACAACAAAGTATCTCTTCTCCAAATGAAAGAAAAGATGAGAATATTTAGTAATTTAAAATACTATAATTATAAACACAAATTAATATATGTATATTCTTATCTCATATGTTAATTACCTGCAAGACAAAGTTCAGAGAAAAGAAGAAAGATAAAAAAAATGAAAAGAATTTGATAGTCATTTCGTAGAGTTAATTAAAATAAAATGAAGGCTACAATTAATAATTAGTTTTTTTTATTATTATTAAGAGATCATATAAAGTATTGAATCCTACCAAATTATTTTTTTCAAAAATGAACTTAGAATACAGAAACATAGCATCAACGGAGTGACAACTTAAAATATCAAAAGTTAAACAATTGAACTTGCATTTCTCAAAATGAGACAAAATGAAAATAAATAAATAAGGATAAACATTTATATCACTATTTCTTCCGTGAATTAAAGAAGTTACTAATAATTTAATTATATGTTACTTTCTCCATCTCAAATTATTCATCATGTTTCATTCTTGTACACCCCTATAGATAAAATTGATAAAAAGAAATATAGTTTTATACATTCTATTTTAATTACACCCCCACCCCCCCACCCCCAACAAAAATAATCATATATAAGTAATAAATCCATAAGAACAAATTAAATAACTTTAATTATCAAATAATATAGTATAATAATTTAATTGTTAAAAAGATCAAGTGAATCATAATTAGTATTTTTTTTACAAATTACATCACACAAGTATATTAGTAAATGAAAGTGTTATGATCTTATATTTTGATACATGACCTTTTATTTTACATTCAAAGAAGAAAAATTATGTACTAAAAAAAAGCATATCTAATTGATTTTTGTACATATGATGATGTTTTCTTCCAGAAGATCATTCACCTTTGTTCTTAAAAAAAGAGAGTAAAGAATGCTCTGTTCCTTCCTAAAGAAATTGATCCCCCAAATCTTAGCTTGCCCATTCCTTGTATATCACATGATATTGTTTACTTCAATATTTTTCATATTTATAGATGAAAAATGTAGGGATATTCAAAATTTATAAGAAAATGTGTATAGTCAAGAGTTAAATAAGTGCAAATCATGAAATAAATGCATGAGAATATTAACATTTTTTCTTGAAAACATGAATTTTTGCTAATACATGAACCACTATCCCTCTGTTCCTAATTACTTGTCCATTTTTGAATTGACACACCTATTAAGAAAACAATAATTGACGTAATAAGTTTGTCATTTTACCCCTATTAATTATGAAGTGGATGAATTAAAAACTTAAGATTTTCAAGAAAGTCTACCTTTTTCAAAGTAATTAATTGAGGGTATAATAGGTAAAAAAAAAAATTCTTTTTTTGATTTGTCAAAATGGACAAGTAATTAGGGACAACTAAAAAAGGAAAAGTAGACAAGTAATTAAGGATAGAGGGAGTATTAAATTGCTTGTAAATTTTAAGATAACCTTTGAAATTCCTAAAAAGATCTGTTATTAATTTTTTGTGCATTGAAATATTAATGTTTGCGTAGTAATTTAATTTCTAAGCATAAGTTATTAGAACAATGTTAATTTAGTGAATGAAAAATGATCATTTAATTTTTTTAGAAACATTTAATATTTAATTAATTAGTTTTTTATTAAAAAATAATTTAGTGTAGTGGTAAAATGGTAATCCAACTTTGCACTTTGATGCTTCCTACTTTTAATATAAAAAATATGTAATATATATATTAATTTTGTATAGAATTTTATGTACATGTTTGTATTATTATTAAATTAGTTTATATTCACTCTATTTTAAATCATTTTGCGATTATAATTTTATATGAATTTAAGACTGTAAATTTATTTTTTTAACCCTTTGGATTAGAAAAAAAATAATTTAAAATGTTCTAACATGTTATTTAATCTAATGATATGTAATATTTCACGTGGAAAGCTAGAATTGATAAATTGTTAATATGGAGAAAAAGTTAATTTATTAATACAACATAAAAATAATAAAGAATAAACATGTAAATATTTGAACTCTTTGATGTTTTTGAAATAAAAATAATTAAAATTAATATATTTGGGCAATGCGCAGGTACGTATACTAATATAACTATTATAAAAAGGGACATTAATAACAATTGTTTAAAAGCAATAATATATTTACCGCTAATTAATTATGTAGAGGAAACATTAATGAAACATAACATTAGCCGATAAAACAATATCCTTTTACTAAAAAATAAAATATTATTTTTATTAAAATTAATTAATTAAGACAAGTTCATAGAAGAAAATAAAAATAGATTCAAGAAGGAGATCCCAAACTTATGAGTACACAGAAAATAAAAGGATATCTTCACTTAGTCCTTAAAAGTTTAAAACAATGAAAAATTATCAAACATCTTTCTCCATTGCATTCCATTTCCCCAATAAAAATTCCTCAAAATGCTCCAGAAATGCATTTGTGTATATCAAGGATTCTGATTCCTGTTGGCAACAATATACAATACTATAAATTGATAAAAATTAATCATAAACTAAGTATTTATTTTGTTTGTATATTGATACTAACCTTATGGAGATATTATCTTGAGTTGGGCTGCTACCAAAGAAATGTTCCAAACTTGTGAACAAATCATTTGGTGGAATGACCTGTAAATATACATTTTGATGTGGTTCATTGAAGTTCATAGTTAGATCATTTGTTTTCAATACATTGAAATGATTTTCGCTCATTTTGGAATAGAGGTCGAATTCAAGCTTTTGAATCAACTCATCCAATCCTGTAAAGAACTCATTTGGTGGAACTAATGAAGGTATTGCATGTGTTTGGGGTAAGGATGATTCTTGAGGTGGTGTGTTGAAGTTCATAAGGAACTCATGAGAATTTAGTACATTAGGATGATTTCCTAGAAGTAAAGAAGAAGAAGCATGTTGAGCTAGTTGAGCTTGTCGTTTCTGTACTCTGTATTGCTGCAGAAGGAACAAAAATATTAAAGCAATTTACACTTGAATATATTTCATCTATGATTAGATGCTAACTAAGATCTTAAATGAGTCCAAAGAAAATTTAGATACCTGTAGACGGTTCTCAACCTGTTTGCGCTTTAATTGTGGCACATTCATATACTCCAAGATCGGTATGGCAGTGGCTACATCGACGAAAGATGAGGATTCAATAGTTAAAAAAAAAACTAAATTAAGAAGAAATTATTCTTAGAAATACATACCTTTTTCTCCTAATCTGCGGATAGCTTCATTGAATTTCTTATTAAGATTCGGTGTCCATTTTATGCGTAGCCTTCTCTGCTCTCGTTCTTCCATAATTTTTTTGAAACAAACAATTTATGTTGTGCCTTAATCTTAATAAGTTGGTGAACACCTCGTTGTTTCAAGTTGATATCGAGGTAGAACTCTAAGTATTCCTCCTTTGAAGAGCTATAAAGTGATGTTAATTAATGCCTTTTGTAATACTTGTTGAATGTTCAGAGAAAGCAATGTAATCTCTTATTTATAGATAAACAAGTAGACAGTTTAAATGTAAATGGATTCTCTTGTCTTATTTTGATTGGCCCCTGTCAGAAATCACGCAATTTGTTAGCATTGATCCTATTGGCCAAATTTGGATGTATTATCACATCGCTTTAACAGGTGTTATGAATTGGGGTCATATGTAATATCTTATTTATAAATGGAGAAAGTAGTCAGTCCAAATGTAAATGAATTCTCTTGCCTTATTTTAATTGGTTCTTGTCAGACACCAAACAATTTGTTAGCATTGATCTTACTGGCCAAATTTGGATATATTATCACATCTCTTTAACACGTGTTATGAATTTGGGTCATATGTAATCTCTTATTTATAGATGGAGCAAGTAGACAGTCCAAATGTAAATGAATTCTATTGCCTTATTTTGATTGGTTCCTGTCAAACATTAAGCAATTTGTTAGAATTGATCTTATTGTCCAAATTTGGATATATTATCACATCGCTTTAACACGTGTTATGAATTTGGGTCATATGTAATCTCTTATTTATAGATGGAACAAGTAGACAGTCCAAATGTAAATGAATTCTCTTGTCTTATTTTGATTGCATTCTATCAGACATCAAGCAATTTGTTAGTATTGATCTTATTGTCCAAATTTGGATGTATTATCACATCACTTAAACACGTGCTATGAATTTGGGTCATATGTAATCTCTTATTTAAAGATGGAGCAAGTAGACTGTCCAAATGTAAATGAATTATCTTGCCTTATTTTGATTGGTTACTTTCAGACATCAAGCAATTTGTTAGCATTGATCCTATTGGCCAAATTTAAATGTATTATCACATTGCTTTAACACGTGTTATGAATTTGGGTCATATGTAATCTCTTATCTATAGATGGAGCAAGTAGACAGTCCAAATGTAAATGAATTATCTTGCCTTATTTAGATTGGACATCAAGCAATTTGTTAGCATTGATCCTATTGGCCCAATTGGATGTATTATCACATCGTTTTAACACGTGTTACGAATTTGGATCATATGTAATCTCTTATTTATAGATGGAGCAAGTAGACAGTCCAAATGTAAATGAATTATCTTGCCTTAGTTTGATTGGTTACTTTCAGACATCAAGCAATTTGTTAGCATTGATCCTATTGGCGAAATTTGAATGTATTATCACATCGCTTTAACACGTATTATGAATTTGGGTCATATGTAATCTCTTATTTATAGATGGAGCAAGTAGACGATCCAAATGTAAATGAATTCTCTTGCCTTATTTTGATTGGTTCTTGTCAGACATCAAGCAATTTGTTAGCATTGATCCTATTGGCCAAATTTGAATATATTATTACATCGCTTTAACACGTGTTATGAATTTGGGTCGTCAAGATAAAATGAATCATAGGCTTGAATTTAGTAAAATAGACTTATTTAATTGTGTATGCTAAACAAATCGTTCAACTCAAATTAACATGGATTCAAAATATGTGTTTACAATTATCAACTAAGAGCTTAGGCCATGTAAAGGTGAAGAAACACGACTAATGAAACTCTCAAAATACATATCTTATCAGCCAATGCTCTTTAAGTTTTTAGTTCTCTTGGGTTTCTTTGTTTCATAGAGAAGGGAATACACTTATGTGTATGCTTCTCAGAGAATATTTATGCTAGTCATTTTTCTGTAATTCTTTATTGACAAAATACATAAATGGACTCTTTAACTTGACCTCATTTCACATTTGTGCCCTTCAACTTTGGGTATGCAAAAGTAGACACTTAAACTTGTATAAACTTGAACAAGTAGACACATGAGTGCTACACAATACACATAGGACACCACGTAGGACAAAAATGGCATGTAGGACATGTGTGTCTATTTGTTCAACTTTATACAAGTTTAAGTGTCTACTTGTGCAGACCCAAAGTTGAAGGGCATAAATGTGATTTGAAGCCAAGTTAAAGGACATATTTATGTATTATGCCTTCTTTATTCAACTAGCCTTTTTCCTATTTAACACTTGTTGATAAATAAATTTTGGGGAGACTAAGCAAATACCCCGTAAAAGTAAAATAATTACAAACATATATTTATTTATATTCATACCCCGCTAAATAATTACACTATATACCACTAACTAATTTCTCTTGATTGATGCTAAATCAGTATCATATATTGTATTTGTATTATTAAGGCTGATAATTTCGCTTAACTGATACTAAATCAGTATCATATATTGTATTGGTATCATTAAAGCTGATAATTTCGCTTAATTGATACTAAATCAGTATATATATACTGTATTGGTATCATTAAGGTTTCTTGTTCAGAAATTATTTATTAATCAATGATACTATAAGAGTAATTTACTCTTATAGTATCATTGACTAATGAATAATTTCTGAACAAGAAACCTTAATGATACCATAAAATATTTATATATACTCTTATAGTATCATTGACTAATGAGTAATTTCTAAACAAGAAACTTTAATGATACCAATATAGTATATATATACTGATATAGTATCAAGTTAAAAGAAATTATCAACCTTACTGATACCAATACAATAAAATTATCAACTTTACTGATACCAATACAATATATGATATTGATTTAGTATCAGTTAAGCGAAAATTATTAGTCTTAATGATATCAATACAATATATGATATTGATTAAGTATCAGTTAAGCAAAAATTATCAGCCTTAATGTGGGGGTATGAGTTGTAATTATTTATGAGAGAATGAGTATTTCAGGAATTACTTTAAGTTTAGGTATAAACTTATAATTATTTTAGATTTTATGGCCCATTTATGTAGTTTCCCATAAATTTTCTAATTATGTCCCTATTTGTGTGCGGTTGGAGCTCAAAATCATTCTTTAATTATATGGATAAATATGGTTTTAAAGTTAGCCTTTGTTATAGTCTATTCAAACGTCATATGATAACTACATAAAATGGGGGAAAAAAAAAAGATAACTACATAAAATGGGGAATTGGTTAATTATCAACTACATGATAAATCTTGGATAACTTACATAAAGAACGGAATGAAATTAGTGTGCATTTATTTACATTCTTAAGGGGATTTACATACTTTTTTTTATAATCATAGGGGTCTTTTGGTAGCTGATTTAATCTATAACTAATGTATGAATAACTTTGTTATTCATGTATTAATTTAATATCATGTTTGATTTGCAATTAGAATAAAATTATTTATGTATTAATTTTATACAATGTTTGGTTAATAGATTTCAAATGTTGTATAAAAGTTATTCATGTATACGGTGTTTGGTTGTATTTTTTGTAATCCTATATAACTAAAACTTTTATAACTTATGAGGAAATTAAATCTATGTATAATTTATGTGGGATAAAAGGTGAAATAAGTTATATGGGTATTAGTTATACATGCATTAAACTAGTAAATTACACCTTTACCTATCAATTTACTTTTAAATGTATAATAATTTACAACAAATCAAATAGTTATTACATGCTAAGTCAATCACAACTAAATTCTTATTAATTTTTTCCTCTGGCGGTACAGCAATGACTATTATCTGTAATCAATTTCTTTGCTTAGTTTCTCTACAACACATGGCCAATATAAGTTTTAGTTTTTTTAGTTATTTGTTATTTATTTTAATTTAAATTACCTATTGATTAATTGATTAATCCTATTGAATACAAATTATTTAATTATTTGTTATTTACTTTATTATTTTTAGCTATTGGTGTTTATTTAATTTTAATGTGTTATTTATATAGTTAGTTATTTTAATGACTATAATAAATATTAGGTCACTAATTATTTTTTAAATTAAGAATAAAAAATTAGTTCACTAATATATTGTAATCTCTACATAACTAAACTCTATCTAACTAATACATGTATAACTAAATCCTGCATAACTAATACATGTATTTTTAAACCCTGCATAACTAATACATGTATAAGTATAACTAATACCTACATAACCTTTTATCTTAAAGGGGATTTTACGTACTTCTTTGCCACTTCTTTTTATCATTGTGGTGTCTAAGGTAAATTTGTGTGCATGCCGACAAAATGTATGGGATTTATATCACCATCCACAAGTAACAAAGATCGGATAACTCTGTTCACTAAGACAAGAATATATGAGAAAAAATCACCTAGATTGTCTCTGCCAAAATTTAAACATGAGACTTCATGATTCTCATGAACCCACTCTATTCACCACTAGGTCACTTTTTCATCTTCACAATTGTGCTCTTTTTCCTATTTGCACTCCTTAATATAATATATTAGTTAATTGAGGCCTTTATTTGTAAGCGTTAAGATCTCACACGTGATATCTTTAAAAGTTTTTGGTGATCTAAATTGAGTTCTTATTATTATATGGCTAAATAATTGCTTAAAGTATATTGTCACAATCAAACCACTATGACTATCATCTACACTACGTCATAATAAAACTTCAGATAAATAAATTAAAATAAAATAACGGAAGTCTAAAATATTACATCCCAAAAATGTGAAAGTCATCTTACTAAAATATCTAACTAAAATGTTTAAAATCAATATCTAGAAAGAAAACCATCAGAAGAAAGAGCATATGCAGCAGCCTGAACGAAAGTAGCTTAGATTTGAATGCAACTCAACTAAATGTAGAGGGTCTAGTAGACGCCTTTGGATCACAGTCTACTCTAAAAAAAAGTACAGAAATAGCGGCAATACAAACACTATGTACTAGTAGGCATCATAGGCCGACTAAGATTAGTAACAAATATATGATTAGAGTTATAAAGCAAGTAGATAGATAATTCTAAGGG